AGTATTGAAATACACGCCATCGTGTTGGGATTCAATATTTCGACATTAATTATGTCATCATCAGGACAGGACAGGTCATCATTCCTGATGATGACATAATTATTAATGTCGAAATATTGAATCCCAACACGATGGCGTGTATTTCAATACTTGGAGTATGTATTATACTTTCTTATCTGAGATTAATCAGTGGACCTTTCGGTTTTATAATATAATACAGTATACTTTTGTTTGGTTTGTTTTAGGTAGCCTGGGTTCCAGGCCCTAATTTTAGGTTACTCACTCTTTATTGCACTTAGTGCGCGCCATACCTAATTTAATTGGCGTCCCATATTCGATTTCTTTTTTTTTTCGAATTAGGCCATAGAGATAATATTAAGAATGTTTAATAGCTCTATGATGAATTAGGCTTATTCCGTCTATCTCTAAATTAACTTTCTCGTTGGTGGCGCTGTCCAGAATGAGAAAAATAATAAAAAATAAGAGACTTGTGGCAAGTCTAGATTTTAGGGTGTGTACAATTAACTGCTTACCTTGTTGAAATTAACAATTTCTGCCGGGAACACTAATTGGACTGAATAAAAAAATATGCTAAATGAATACAGTATGCGTATTGACTTAAGGTTAGTGATTATTCGATATCTAACCAAATCAAATTTATTGGAGCATATTTAAAAAAAAATTATTTGTATAGTTCTGTTAAAAAGTAGGCCTAAGAAAATTAATGGTTTCATTCATCGTTTATTGTTACAATGAAGATCCTACTATCGATATCCATTCCATCAAATTAAGTTTAATACATTTCTATACATTTATTTGACTGATGTGCTTGAATTGGTGATGAGTTTATTGTTTTCCGATTTTAATTGACTTTTTTTTTTTTTTTTGCGTTTTTCTATTTTATTTATAAGTTATATTTTAATCAATCTAATGCATTCTGTAATTTTTGGTACCGGTATGTTTGCTGTTGGGTGTGGTTTTGTCATATAATATAATATAAAATAAAAATAAATACATTTTAAACTATTTGAGCGTTCTTATTTGCTTTGCATATTCAGTGAGAGATCCTGGTTGAGAGATGGTGTGTTTGGGGGGGGGGGGGGGGTGGTGGTGGCAAGCGCAAGCATTTTATTTTATTTATTTATTTATTTTTTTGGAAGAGTGCTACCTGCCCGAGATACGCCACTCTCAATATTAAATCTGTAGAATAATTCTGCATTTTTGCAGATACTTTTTTTGGGTGCGGGGTCGAGAAAGACAAACTTCTACAATTGTTCAATATGTTTTGTAAGAGCGTGAAAAATTCATGAAAAACGATTATACAAATACGATAAGCTGTATTGTAATTTGCAATAAAATACTAATTGAAGTTTAATATTAAAAACACATAATAAAATATCAGTATAAAATCTCACGTACAAACAATAAAAAAGAAGAACAAATGGGTAAATTGGATGAAAACTTACAAAAAAAGGACAACCACTTGAAACAGTAAAAGTAAAAAAAGATAAAACATATCAAAAAACAATGTATAGCAGTAGAACCTCAAACAAACAGATATCAAAAGGCCCGGAAAGAAATAAAAAGACAAACCACATACTAGTTTTGCTAACTATTATATTATTCAAATTATTAGGCCTATTAGTATTAAGATTATAATTATTATTATCATCAGAATTATACAAAATGACAAAAATAACATGTTATCGGTACCATCCCTTAAAGAGCCCAGTTCCATTCAAAATAATTTTTTTTTTGACCAGAGAGATTATTAGATCTTCTTGAAATATATTTTTTGGTGAGTGGAATTATGAACCCATAAAGGGAATTAACTTTACTACTGGCAATTTTGTCCGGCGGATAGTTTACGTTTACCTCCAGGGTGATGTTCCCAGGGTAGCAGCAGAGACTCATGCTAGAGGGCGTAATAACCTTTTTACGATGATTTTCGTGTCTGCCCTTGCTGCTGCTGGCTGGAGGGCCTGTTGTGTATTATGCTGTGTGTACTTGGGGTTAGCTACCATAGTATTTTATTAATTTTTAAAATAAATAAAGGTAGGTCTGGGGTCCTGTTTTGGCGTATAAACAGACACCTGAGCATTTGCTTATTTAATTTGTGTATTATTAATATTATTAACTTTAGTCCCTAGGCTAGGCCTAGGCCTAGGCCTTATTATTAGTTTAGGATAATTTCGGTCTATTTAGGACAAATATGTGGAGCGCCGAAGGAGTTGCGAAAACGCAAAATTTAATATGCCTAGGCCCTATATATTATTATAATTAGTTCGTCAATCGGTTTATCATAGGCCTAAGTATTTTTTTATTTGCGTTTTGCTATCTTTCTACTAACAACATTTTATCTTTCATTCATATTCTCTTTCTTCCATTTAAGGTGACATATTCATAATGGAATTTGTATGTGCTTCATGCTATTCATTTTGTTGCGTTTTCATATACTATACTCTAATAATTATGGTCAATAAAATAATAATAATAATAATAATTTATATAGCGCCAATTTCAACTATACCGAAGTAAAAATCAAAGGTGCTTAACATTTAGATGGTAAAAAGGTACGTCTTAAGTTTTGTCTTAAAAATAGCAACTGACGGTGATTGGATAATATGTTTGAGCAATGAGTTCCAAAGGGATGCTGCGGAAAATGAATATGATCTAGAACCAAAGGTTTTGGTGTTAATCCTAGGAACAACTAAAAGATTTTTATCAGAAGAACGGAGACAAGTAGGTGGGGCATACGCA